CTCTCCAGATCTAAATCTCTCTCCTTTGTCTCTCTGTGGCTGCCTGAACAGTTCGTGTATCACAGGTCGGCGTAGAAATATCATCTTACATCTGACACTTCTTAATGTCAGAGTCAATCTCCAGTACACGATCTGTCAGTTAACCCGGGCCTGAACTGGTCTCCAGGAGTCACATCGGGGTGAACGTCTTTAGTTCGAACCAGGTGTGTCTCTCTGAACACCGGTGTGTGCCAGTATCTTCCAGGAGGCTGACGTGTCAGTTGCCCTGCAGGACGATGTGCCTGAGAGGAGCCGCTCAGGTGTAAAACAACAACAAAAAGTATCCAATTACGCGTACCGATAATCCCATTTGAAGTTCTTTACAAATGAAAAGTACTTCAAACAAATTTGTTTATTGCTTTACTAAATATTTAATTAAATATAAAAACTCAGTTCAGTTTCTCGTATTTATACCACAAATGGCACCAACCGTCAAGTGAAAATTGCTAAAATAGCATGTTCATAGCATGTTCATAAAATTAGTGCGTTTTGTCGTCAACAACAAAAAGCAGCTGAAGGTTTGCAAAAAGTGGCTCGGCAATAGCTGTAAACAACAAAAACCAAACAAACAAACAAATAAAACAAATAAGCTTAGCAAGATTTTAGCCAAACAGTTCAGAGTTAGCCTGGAAATAAATCAACACTAACAAATTGTAGTGGCTAAAAACCTACATAGTGACTTTTACATATTTTTTAGCCATAAAGTAGTAGAGTAGCTTGGCCTTAGCTAAAAGTTTATAGCAACAAAAAAAAAGCCAACTAGCCACAACAGCTAGTGCGCTTGTGTCGTCAACAACAAAATGCAGCTGAAGGTTTGCAAAAAGTGGCTCGGCAATAGCTGTAAAAAACAAAAACCAACCAAACAAACAAACCAAACAAACACTAACAAATTGTAGTGGCTAAAAACCTACAAAGTGACTTTTACATATTTTTTAGCCATAAAGGAGTAGCTTGGCCTTAGCTAAAAGTAAAAAAAAAATGTAGCTAAAAGTTAAAAATAAATGTAGCTAAATGCTATAAAATATCACAGAGGTTGCTACCACATTAAATAACATTTTACAGGAAATATATCGTATATAATATTTAAACCTCAATTAAACGCATCTCTGTGACAACTTTCTGTGGACTTAGATAATGACTGCAGACGGTTAATAACCTTCTTTCCAACTGTTAGTATTTCGTACTTGGCTCAGACGCAGGTGCTTTCTTGTCATCCAAACCTGGCAAAAAAGCACAGGAGTCGAACCACTGCCCTGCTGAAATATGTCGACAGTCTCTCACGCCCTTCCTCTCTGCCGATGCTCGTTACTCACCTGGGTGAGGTGAGGTTTGGTGTCAGGGATGGGAAACATTTTTAATTAAAACGAGGAGCAACCACACTCCCTATGTGAAACCCAATCAGGGTCTGACTCCACGCCACCAAACGTATCTCCTCTCTTTCTTTAAGCCTTCTTGACACAGTGTCAGTTTGTTTAGTAACGGTCTCCAGGTCACACTGCGGTCCCTGAGAAAGTCGTCTTACACAACATCTCTGCAGAGGACATCTCCACCACCGTGCACAGCGGGACGAGCCCGCAGCATCTGCCGGCTGCCACGGCAAATTTCACTGTTCAGGTGTTTCACGGGAGGAAAGGAGTAGAGTGAAGTGGAGGCAGATGACTCACTGTGGTAAAACCTGGAGACAGCGGCCCAGGTACTGTACGTGGAGGAAATCATGTAAAGATGTGTTTAAGGTCTTAGAACTTTTTGACTGTAGAATGTAGAAGATTTTTCTCCCCAACTTTGACTTTTGTAGTCGTTGGATCTGTCAGTACTTAAAAGCCACACTTTTTAAATTTATTTTTTTAACATTTAAATGATTGAATTCATTTCACCGTGCACTGGAACACTGGCAAGTGAGCAGCAGACACGACGACATTCTGAAGCGCGTTGCTCACACAGCTGCAGGCACTCACAGAGCCAAAGTTACACAAATTTACAGTTAAATAAAACTGGTCGAGGAGCGTGGAAGAACACGAAGGGACAAGAGCACAGATCAAACGTCGCTGAACAGAGTGACAGACAGACGGCAGCTTCTCTCATTCTCGTCTTTTACTTTCCACATCACTTGTTGTCACAGAGGAGATTAAAAAAATCATGTTTGTCAGTTTTACATCGTCACAAACTCAAGAGCCTCGTTCCTGTTACATCAGTCTGCAGGGCGTTTGTGCAGCCACAGACCGTCTGTCAGGCGGGCTTCACTGCCGCGGCAGAGCGCTATCGCCTCGGTCGCAGTCACTGTTACTACGACCTTAAGGCGAATGGCATTTTCGAGCTGAAATGGGATTTTTCTGTGTAAACAAAGGATATCAGTCAATAAACTGCTTCCAATGATCTCTGCACACAATGGATGGCTGTGAAATAGAACCAATGAAGGTCGAATGCATTAAAACAATTTGACAACAACACTTTTTTAAAGAGTCAAAAACAAATAAAGAAGCAGATGAGGACATTTCCATAAAAGATTGATATAAATGCTCCAATTTAACCCATAGACACAGCTCCAGTGTTTCCATTCATATTGTAATGACATCAGCTCTGGCAACATTTACTCACTCCTCCACCATAATAATAATAATAATAAAAAGCCCTTAAATTTGTTGGAACAATTAGACTCAAAAACACCAACACATGTTTCATCAGGGATTGTGAAATGACTAACAGAGAGACGACAGGTTGGAGTTTACGATAAAGACGCTCAACAGGCTAATCATATAGACTCTGGTTTATTTTGCCCCTTCAAAGCACTTTGTACCTGAGGCGCTGATAGGGCGGCACAGTCAGAAGATGTGTGTGTGTGAAGTACATCGTACTGTGAGCCTTTAACGATAGGAACACAGAGAGGGATAATCTCCCTGGGATTAGTGCTCGTACGCCCACAGGTGTTTTAGTACTGGACTGGGGAAACAGGAACAGCAGTGACGGTGGATGTTTACCTGAAGGGGGAAGGGGTTTGTTTAAGGCACAGTGTGAACAAAGATGGATGGAATCCATGGAAAGATGATGAATATAATGGACACATGTTTTTTTTGTTGATCAATCACTAAACATTTCAGGTGACCCCATTTTAATTACAAGTGACCCCATGTAGGGTTACGACCCCAAGATTGAAAAACACAACCTTAATATTTATGTAGGTTCTCAGTCTTCTGATCAATCTACAGTATTTCTTAATTTTATTTATTCCAAAGGTTAGTCAATCAGTTTCAAGACAAATTGAAAAAAAAAAAAAACAAAAACAAAAAATGGTGAAATTAACAAGGTGTTTCCACTAGAGAGTTCCTTCTTTGTAGATTTACACCACGTAAGAACCTGCTGCTACTTTATAAGAAGTTTCTTTTTATTGTTCTCTCAGATTTGGGAAAAGAAAAAAGTCAGAAAACCCCCAAAAGTCAAAACCAAAAAATAAACATCGCACAACCAAAGGGTTGACAAAGACATAACAATACAAGTTGTCAAAGCTGTTTTCTTTATTTACTTATTGAAATCAGTCACTTTTTAAATTACATCTGTCTTAAAACTCTTTGACCTACGTTGGTATTTTGAAGTGTAGAGCTGTACATTCTAACACCGACCTCACCTGAATTAAAATACTGAGTGTGTGTAAAGAGTAAGTTATGCTACAAAAAAAAAAAAATTTAACATACAAATTGTTGGACAACAACCGACAAAGTTAATGCGTTTCAGGTTTGATTTATTCTACCAAGACGTTAATGCCGGTAAAATATGTTCAGAAACCCATTAAAATGTGTTCAAACAGTAGAGAAGTGAGTACAGGCGTTCACCTGTTCTACTGCAACCACAATATGATGCAGAGATAACTTGTGTGTGGCTGCTGGTAGGGTGTGTGCGTCAGCGGAGGTCTGCTCCACCGTCAAGTTCAAACAAGGTTTACGTGTTTCACTGAACGACCTTCCAGTTTTTACAACGTACTTTCTTTGTCTTTGACACCAACCTGGTTCTTTATGGTCTTTTTTATGCAGTAAAAAGGCATAAAATACAGAACAATAAATAATACATTTTTAGAAGAAAAGTTCCTGCTCCTGTGTTGGTTTGCAGCTGAAATATTTTTATACTTTTTTAGAATTTTAGGCACTGATTTAGACACTCGTACATGGCTCTAAATTTAACAATTTGTGACAATTGTACATGGCTCTAAATTTAACAATTTGTTTTACCAAACTGAAAAAAATAACAATTGGTAGCTTTTTATTAATCAATAAACATATTAAAGAACAATATTGTCCTTAATTTCTGCGTCCTGCATTGGATTTACTAAAGAAGGTTAGTCATCAAGGTAGAAAATTCTGTGTCATCGTCTGTAAAGTCTTGTTTTTTTCCTCTACGTCAGGGTGTCAAACTCATTTTGGTTCAGAGGCCACATATGGCCGCACCAGTACAATCATAACATAATTACCCATAAATAACAACAGGTTCAAGGTAGAAAATTCTGTGTCATCGTCTGTAAAGTCTTGTTTTTTTCCTCTACGTCAGGGTGTCAAACTCATTTTGGTTCAGAGGCCACATATGGCCGCACCAGTACAATCATAACATAATTACCCATAAATAACAACAGGTTCATGTTTTTCCTCTTTGTTTTTATGTAATTATTATGTACAAGAATATCAGAAAATATCAATATTTAATGAAATAGAATTTGACTAAACTTTTTACAAAATTCATTAAGCAGGGCCAGACATGTTTTTCCTCTTTGTTTTTATGTAATTATTATGTACAAGAATATCAGAAAATATCAATATTTAATGAAATAGAATTTGACTAAACTTTTTACAAAATTCATTAAGCAGGGCCAGACTGAACCCCCCAATGGGCCAGTTTTGGCCCACGTGCCGGATGTTTGACACCCCCGCTCTACTATTTAATGAAATAGAATTTGACTAAACATCACTAATATGAAGTGTCTTTCACTTTTTACAAGCGGGGCCAAACTGAACCCCCCAGTGGGCCAGTTTTGGCCCGCGGGCCATATGTTTTCTCAATCTGTCTGTGGCTCTAAATGTTACAGTACTGAATAAATAACAACAGGGCTGAAGTTTATCCCCAGCAGATAACCAGACTAACCAGTGCTCTTGTGTCCCTGAACTGGAGGGCTGCTGCCGCCTCCTCCCCTGTTCTGTCCAGGCAGCTGGTTGACCCTGTTCTTCAGCCCTTTGAGGTTGTACAGCTTACTAAAGGTCAAGGTAAACGGAGCCCTTTCCTCATCCTGTCTGTGAGCTTCTCCCACTGACATATCCTGCTTCTGAAAATGCGGAAAGGTCTGGGCTTTTGGGGAATGCCTTGCTCTCATTCTGGTGTCCACTGCAGGGGACTGTGGAGACACAGGGCTCTGCTGGCCGTGGGAGACATTAATCTGTCCCGCCGTAGACCCCCCCACTCCCAGTGACAGTGGGGGAGGCCTAGATGGAGGTTTGCGAAATGCAGGTGAGTCCTGTAGGGGTCCTAGTGGAGGCTTGGAATGACAATCCAACAACTGAAGAAAATAGAATTCAAATATATTTGGGTATCAATATATCAGTACAGAGCAGACACTGTTATTCTGGTTTTGTGCTTCAAATGTTCATTGACAAATATGTGGTTTTCAAACATGAGCTGCGCTGCGTCGCCACACTGATTTGTCTCTGATTAGACGAGAGAGCTGCAGTTTAACGCTCTGACTTGTTAGGCCAAAGTGACATGTCGGGCCAACAATGAGTGACTTAGACTCTATTAAACTTTCACAGGTTCATCAATATTGCATCTGTGCAAGTGTGTGTGCTGCTTTATTAAAGTGTCACTTAAGTTCACACAAATATTCCTCGTTCGATAATGAACACGTGTGATGTGACTCAACTTAGCTTTGCTCTGCTGGAGCATACTCAAGAAGATGAAGACACGCACGATGGTGGATGGATGGATGGATGGACAGATAGATGATGGAAGGATGGATGGACAGATAGATGGAAGGATGGTGGATGGATGGACAGATAGATAGATGGAAGGATGACAGGCAGATAGACAAAAAGATACCTAGCTTGCTAACAATGTAGTTGATAGACAAAAAGATACCTAGCTTGCTAGCAATGTAGTTAATTAGCCAGCAAGCTAGCACTCTGGTAGCTACCTAGATGATTCAATCCCTAAAATCAGTAACAGTGTGAACCATTCTGTGAACCGTGTTTTTCCTAATCCATTTCTCATTCACCATTGGAAGAAACAGGGGCCAATCACAAGGCCAACAAACAGTGATGAGCCTTGGTTTTCAGTCATTTTCAGGTTAATTAATTAAATTCCAAATCAACATTTTTTGCTTGGGGGGGTGGGTGAAGGAGCAAGGCAGGGGTGGGGGTTAGGAGGGAGGGAAGAAGAGAGTTCGCATGCACACTACACCCAGATCAGCCCTTGGTCAAACTGGGATNNNCTGCTGTGAAGCAGCAATGCTAACCACAACCCCACCCTGTGTCTCTCTGGTATTATCACTTTAATAAAAAAAAAGTGTATTCATGTGCAAAACAGAAAATAAAACCCTCAAAGTAACTGTCATTTTTTTCCAAAAGAAAGAAAGATGGAAAAGCAGAAATCTACAGCAAGAAAAACACAACAGAAATAGTTCAAGGTTTAAAAAGAAGCTGTTGCTTTATTGTTTGTTTTTTTTCAAAGCAATAAAGCTTTTCAAAGTCATTTACTTGTGCTTGTTAGCAGGGAAATAAAAGAAACTGTCTTGCATGTCTGAAAATGTTGATTTATATCTTTATCAATTATTAAATGTATTTTAATGATACAAATATCTGTTTTAATAAAAGGCTTTATAATTGATAATTGCAATAAATTGCATTCTATCAATCAAATAGCGTAATGGTGACAAAATATTTTCTAAATCAAATACTATTTTGGATTCATTAATAAATAGACATACACTTGAACTGGACAAGTTTATTTTACATCTATATTTGTGCAATTTTCATTGGTCTGCTACATTCACAGGTTAGTGCAAGCTCACAGTGCAATTACAGTTATTCTTTTTACATTCTTTTTTTTTGTTTTTTTGTCCGGTTATTTTTTTTGACGGATTTTTCAGGATTTCTTAACAAATGTTAGCGCTGGTGTCCATGCTAACAACAACATGTTTAGTAAAGTGAGGCGATACTGACACTTGCACACAGCCATGCACTTATCCCAGCTGAAGACTGGACATTGGAAAATCTGGCCAAACAAGCCATGCAACGCAGGAACTTTCTTCTACAGGCTGGCAAACAGACTTTAGTTGCAATACTGCCACCTAATGGACTGGAAACTGTGCATCGATTTCAGAGTTCAAAGTTTCAAGGTTAGCTTCGCAGCAGACGAGTTGATTTATTCGGATCATAGTTGAAGACAGCAAACATTTTTTTCAGTAAAACAGTTGAAAATAGTTGCTTGTTAATGTTCATACCTTGTGCCTGACAGTCTCTCTGGACGAGTCCACGTCACTGGGTCTGGACGCCACCTCACTCACGACCTTCTTTTTGTCTTGCCTTAGTCGGTTGGTAGAAAACTTAAGGCCACCAGAAAATGTTCTCTTTGCATCTGTAGAGTTAGTGATTATTTCTCCCTGGGTGACTCCTCCATCCACCAGCCTCTGTGCCGGTGATCTGTTCAGTAGAGAGTTTTTTTTAGCAGCCGCGGGTTGGGCCTCCTTCCCTTTCGCAGCTGTCTCTGTCAACCCTTGTTCTTGTTTAGGCTGATCTGTTGTTGCCTTGATCTCATCGCTGCATCTCCGCTCTGTCTTCTGGGAATCTCGCTCCACCACATTCTGTTTCATCCCCCTTTCACTCTGCTGTGTCCTATCTTTATATCTTGCTCTCCTTTCTTTCTCCATTTCGGCTTTTTCAAGTAAGGAAGAAGCAGAGACTTTTGAGTGCCTGGATAAAATCTGTGTTTCTCTGCTGGAGTTCATCATGTCTGCAGTACTGGCCCAATTTGTATTATTGATGTGCAGAGAAGAATTGGTGGCATTGGTGTGTACAACGCTATCACAGTCCACTGTTAACCCATGGTGGTGTAAACCCTCCTGATCAAATACAGAGTCATGGACAGGAGAGTCGCTGCATTCGTAGTACTCCTCTGAGGTGGTGGACAGGGTGGAGTCATCCATTGGTGACAAATATCCATCACTAATGTCTGTCGTAGGTGTCTGAAAATCAGGAGTGTGTTGCTGTGGATCTGAATTGCGAGTCTGTAGGTCATTTGTCGGTGTGGGTGAGCTTACCAGAGGAATGCGATGTTCTGAATCTGTGTCAGCTGAAGAGGAATGCAAATCTGACATGTGTGTGTCTGTGAGATGCAAATTCCTGGGCCTTTCATGGGGGTGTGAGTTCTGCTGTACTTGAGGAATGTGTTGGGATTCTTGAGTGGCACCGCTAACGAGACCTTCACCTTTCACTATATTTGGATTACTCTGAGGCGTGACATTTACGTGCTGGCTGCTGCCATCGGTGTTTATGGATTTGCGAGACTCCGGACTCATCGTTATAGAGTCCACATCTACAACAGTTGGACTCGATTCACAATATAATATCCTCTGAGGCTCATGTGCTCTTGCATGGTATGTTTTACAATGACTGACTTTTGTATGTTTATCATTTGTCTGGTTAGCAAACTGACAATCAACTATTTCTTCTGAGGCCTTGATATCTGTCAGTGCTGCATCTACACAAGGAATCTTAGTCCCTGGAGGTGTTTCACTGTCTGATGAAGAAACATTCTTGCTTTCAGAGACTTCTTGACTTACATCATGATTAGTATAACGTTCAATCTTTGATTCTTCAAGAGTTAAAGCATCTGTTTGAGGCTCCGGATTGGTCCCAGCAGGCGTCACTGTGACTGCAGTGTCATCAGGTGGTCCGACTGCTCCTGCCTCCTCTGTCTCTGGGTTTGCTGGTGTTTCATTCTGCTCTTGATTCAGAGTCTGGATGTTATTATCTCTCATACCTGAGTCATCTGGAGCTTCTATTCTGCCCTCGCTGTTTTCTGGCGCTTGGGCCTCTGTCTCTGTTGGCTCTGTCTTGGATTCAATCTGTACCAAATCTGCTGCCTCAGCCTTAGTAGTAACTACTGCTGGTTCTGTGCTCTCTACGCTATCAGATCTTCTGACAACTCTAATCTCAGGGAGCGCCTGAATGTCTGTGGCGCTGCCATCTTTGATAACCAGCTGAACAGTTCGAGGTTTTGGAACGGGAGCAGTCAAGGTGGGGGACAATGAGGAAGGTGAAGAAATGGGAGGGTCTGGAGTCGAAGAAGGAAAAGTCGTAGGAGGAACTAAGGTAGAAGAAAGGGATGTTGGAGATGAAGTAACGGGTGGATCTGAAGTTGGAGATGAAGAGGAAGGAGGAGGAATTAAGGTAGAAGATGAGGATGTAGATGATGGAGGTAGAGGAGGATCTGGAGTCGGAGAAGGTGAGGAAGGAGGAGGAATTAAGGTAGAAGATGAGGATGTAGATGATGGAGGTAGAGGAGGATCTGGAGTCGGGGAAGAAGGGAGAGCAGGATTTGTAGATGATGGAGGTAGAGGAGGATCTGGGGAAGAAGGGAGAGCAGGATTTAAAGGAGAAGAATCATGTGGAGGACCAGAGTTGGTGAAGCTGGTGGATGGTGCAGTACAGCAAACATCACTATTGGTCTTATAGAGCTCGATGTTGTTGTTTTCAGAGAGGGGGGGGCTCCTGTCAGACTGAGACTGCACTGGAGAATCAGAGGAGGTGGAGATTTGGGTTTGGACCACCTCCACATCAGAAGTGATGTCAGTGGAGCTGTCTGACGGTCGAGTGTGACCCGTCTGGGTTTTTGAATCTACCTGTGAGACGGAGTCGTTTGAGCAGTTTGACTTCAGACTGTGGTTTACGACAGCACTTTGTGTTTCGTCTAAATTTGTTTCTGGCTCTTCTTCAGTGTTTAACTCTGACATGGAGGTTGAGGGTTTAGGAGTGTTTGTCGTGACTTTTTGTGTATTGAGTGATGTAATGCTATTGCTTGGAGTTGTTGTGTTGCTGCTGGACTGAGAAGGTGATTTTGCACCAGGTTTTGTAGTTGTGTTTAAATGCAGTTCATGCTCTGACTTGACAGTCTGGTCTGGTTCGTCTGTCCTTTGTACAGGAGCTTTCTTTGTTTTAATTTCACAGGGTTCTGGCTGTAGTTCTGTTGACTGGTCTTTGTCAACAGTCGGCTTCACAGCTGTTGGTTCTTTCTGTCTTGTTAGGAGTTTGTTAAACCTCTCAGGTTTAGGAGTAATCTCCCTCGGCTGAGCCACCTCTGGCAGGACTTCCTTGGGCTTGGTAAATGGACTACTAAACCTGACTGCTTGGCTTGTTTCAAACATCTCAGATCTCTGAAGATGGACCTGTGTCGGTTTCCTGGGATCCCGAATGTTAATGAAGCCTATTACGTCACTGGGGGGATCGGGTTCTGGCCATGTCGGCAGATATGGGATCAAGTATGCCTTTTCCAAATTAACAAGACCAGGATGGAGCGGAGGGTCTTCTTGTACAGTGTCTTTACTACTTCTTTTTTTCCTGTTCTTCTTATCATCTGGATTCTTGGAGCTTTCTGGACTGCTGGGCTTTTGTGGAGTAGAAGGGACCAGGTTACATGAAGCCAGAAGTGCATATTTGGGGTTGTACAGTTTCCTAGTATCAGCAGCACTGGGAGGAGCAACAGCAGCCGGCTGTGGTAGAGGCTCGGGCTCAGGTTCTTGGTCGGTGGCCATCTGCCGGAGGTCAACAGAGCTGGAGGTCACATAAAGGACTCGAAAGAGCCGGTCGAAGGCGTCCACTGCCTGGCCGGTGACCACGGTGATCAGGTTTCTGTCCAAACGTGAAGCCATCCAGGTAAAACTGCAGGACATGACAATAAGATATCACCAAAGGAACTGAGGTACAGCAGGATTAGCCTAGCTTAGCCACGTTTAGGAGGACTTTTTGTGCATCACAAAACGTTTTTGATCAAAACGTCATTTATGGTTAATAGGACTGATAATGGTATTATGGTGATTGTTGAATTAATAAAACATATCTGAGGCTGGTTACAACTTTTTTGTATGTGTGATCTCTATGTTTATGACTTTGAGGTAACCTGAATAAAATGTACATGCATTCATGTCTCCCAAACACTCAATACATTCCCGACCGGTTCCTCAGGTTGAAGATTATGTGACATGACATTATTTTTTTTTCTGTCCTGTCCAGGCTCCGAAGACTAAAGACAGGTGGAGCACACACAGATACTCTTTCTTTTACTCATTGTCCTTCCATTGTTTGTTTTTTCTGAAAGAAACGACGTATACAAACACACAGGTAAGAACACTCACCCGTACGACCCAGACACAGCTTTGTCACCATCCAAGAACATGAAGCGGTGTCCCAGTTGACCTTTGACCTTAGTGCATGAGCGAGTGCAGAACTCCCCTCCGACTGTGCAGCGAACACGAAGGTGCTGTGACAAAAAAAAACAAAAAAAAACATTCCAAGTTTTTGCACACAAGCCTGTGACCGTGGGATGTGTTAATGTTAATGTATGATGTGCATTGTGTACGTATAAACGCAGCCACTTAGTCACACAGACCTACAGGTGTGACCTTATGTAGCTACTGCTGTAATGTGTAACTGGCATTCATGATAATAGCTGGGCGGAACACTTTATAATGGATTACTCATAAAAACACCGGTGAGAGATGGACCGTGTGAAACGGTACAGCTTCACTGTTGCACAACGAGGTTCAGTTCTGAAGTCTCAGGATTATTACACTGTTCAAACCAGATGTTCACAAACATCACCTGCAACCCGACTCTTATTGGACAGCCTCTAAATCATATACAGCACATATAAATAAGGCCCGTGGGCCATATATGGCCCGCCCTGTCATTTGACGTGGCCCACCAGAGCGTAGCTTAGAGTCTGGTTGTGTCAAAATAAAAGTCTACAGTAGAGAGTCAATGTTAATGTTTACGATGAATTAAGAGAATAAAATGGCGACATAAATGTTACTGGGTGCAATTTTTTTTTAGAAAAGTCGACTTTGTATGTTCAAACTCTGGCCATGGAGTTTGGGGGAAATTTGAATATTCAGCTCGGCCTCCTGGCTCATTGAACTCTGTTCACCAAGGTTGTCAGAGCGACTGTAATCCTCGTAAGCATGTGAGCAGTCTTGGTGTAGCACATTGCTCCTGGCACGGCGCGTCTCTCTCTCTCTCTTTAAAGAGCCCCTCCCTCTCTCACTTTCTCTTTTCCCTTAAAACATTCCTTTGGCAACTAAACAGATAAAATCAGCAAATTGTTTTCATGGGTGTGTTTACCCAGCTCTGAGGGTTGAATGAAGAGCACTTAAACTGTCATAGGAGGAATCTGATGTGAAATTACAACTATCACACACTTTTCAGACAGACTTTGTCATTTAAACAACCTTTGAGAAAATGGTTCGCCTGATGTTCGCCCCCTTACTCCTCCCTCCTCCCCCCTGACCTTGAAAATAATTCAGCCCATCAAACCAACTTAAACTGTGTTCTATGTCAACAAATGTCAGGGAGATGAGTCACTTTTAAAATGGGCTGTAAACTATCCACAGAGGTGTAAACCTAATTAGACGACTGAAAAAGACATTAATCTGACGACTCTCTGCTCGCGTCATTTTAGCTCCTCTGCTCTCTTTCTCCCTCCTTCTCCCATAAACTCCTCCAACATTTTTCTTCTGGCAGCTTGCAGTTTACAGTAAAAACTCAGTCGGTCACACCTGTTCTCTGCTCCCTGCTCCCAGTCAGCCTGTTTAAGGGCTCACATTCAGCTTGAGGGCAAACTTGTTACGTCTAGAAATGTTGTGTTCGACACTCATCACTGTTTTACAGCGTCCCACAGGCCCGGCAAATTTTCCGGAGCGACACTAGGCACCTGAAGTGATCATTGTTTGGAGGAGACTCGTATGGAACCTTCATTTTGACCTGAGTGGCCACACACTGGGGTAAATCAGGGTGGATCAGTGCAGCACAGACACAGCAGCCTGTGTACAGTGTGTAACTAAAAGACGGAAATGTCGCGTGCTCAATGTGCACCATCATCCTGTTGATGTTACAACACAAGATACCTTTAACATTTTATCAGAGCAAACTCAACCGAACATCTTGACTAATTTAATTAACACCAACATCAGCAGTGCCGTGTTTGAACACGGCTAATCAGTGACGAGGCTCTTAATGGAGCGTGACTAACGAAACAGTATCGAGGTGACACCCTGAGAGTGTCGTTCTCATTCGCTCAATTATGTGTAACTGTCACAGTGTGTCATATCCACGTGCTGGTGTGGGGATGGAGCTCAGACGTGTGCATTTTGGCAGTAACAGAAAAGTTTGTCAGGGTGTTACGGCCTTATTTCTCCAAGGCATAGAATGAGTGTGTAAATGTGTCGAGAGAGAGAGGGAGCGAGAGAGAGAGAGAGAGAGAGAGAGGGAAAGTAGGATCAGATTCATAGACAGCAAATGTCGCCCTGCAAGGCAGACAGTAAGCAGAGTTTCCTGATTGTTTTTTTTTTAGTACTACCCAAAACCCAGTACCAGCATCAATATGTCTTAAAATTGGTTCTGATAACTATGCAATGAACTAGAAGGCAGTGTTGTACCAGTGGTTCAGCTCTGTGAATAACAGGATGACATGCAGTGTGTGTAGCTGCGAGCTCAACCCAAACCACAGTCTGGGACACCGAGCAAGAAACACTAACAGACAGACTTATTTTCTTCTTCTTCTCAGAGGTTTACTTTAGTCCAAGAGAAAATAAATCTTTCTGTATTAAATAAGAAAACTGACACTGCCATCACATTAGAAAACATATCAATAAAACTAAGGATAAAATATAATAAAATAATAATAGAAAATGTCTGCATGCTGTAGTGAACACAGTTCTCTGGAGCTTCTACGTCAATCGTTGATTTGACCACTGACCGTTCTTAGTTGCGTTGAGTTTTACCAATGCAACACATCACAGCTGACACTATATTACTACATTATTATATGTATATTTCAGCCAACGTGATTCAAAACTATGAGGAGCTGGCACCAACTGTGAGTTGTGATAAGAATTCATTTGATTAGAAAACAGCTCCTTTATTCTCACAGGCCCCGACACGATGAGCTTCTTTGATATGTTCTTTGTTTTTTCAAGCCAACCAGTTAATTAGGGCACAATCATCCGCTTTAATGATTTATCTGTGGTCAAGTGCCAGCTGGAATAATGGTTGCAGAATGAATGCCATTGTTTTTGTGTATGGGTTTGGAAGACGCCACAAAGAACAACTCTACGCAGATGCTTTGTGCCTGTGTCTGGCCTTATTGAGAAATGACAAAAACACCTTGATCCCATTACCAAACAGACTCTTACTTTTGTTTAACAGACATGTTCTGGTCGATATCTATTTACTGATACATCAACAACCATAATGGGCACTGAGAAAAATTTCCATCGATGCAGAGGTCAAAGTGTCACTTCGCAATTCATTCCGTAACACCGGCCCATTAAGGAAACTATAATGATTTGATCCATCGTGACCTCTTGTCCGCAACACAGTGAAATGTGGTTCACGGGAAAGAAAAAAAAAGTTCATGCATTTAGACCTCATTATTTTTCTTAGCAAATAAATACTGCAACATCTACGGCCGAGCCTACCACAGTCTTCAGCCTAGTCCACAAACATCACCCTGTCATTAGTGGAACATTTTTTTACGACTGTAAATTCTTAAACACAATTCTGGGCGTGGTACAGATTTTTTGAGGTAGGTGATGGCATGCAAAAAATGAAAAATACGACTGTATGGTAAGGTGAATAATACCACGGTTATTTACACATGAAGTTTTCAAGAGGAAAATGTTACACTATGTGAGATAAGGGTCTAATATTTGGATGGTGGTGAAACTGGAAAAAATCAGAGTACGGTATGTAGTTGTCAATCAAGAGCAATGTGTGAAAATCCATCCATTTTCATCCGCTTATCTGTTACCGGGTCAGTCTCTATGACCGCCACCCAAATCACACTGCACCGTACCAGCCCCCCTGAACCTTCCTGCGGGTGGTGAGTCCACTGGAAGGTACCAACGGCCCTAACTGGGATTCGATCTTGGCCAGGAGGTGAACCCTGGGGTTCCACACCCATGACAGAGACACTGCCTCTGGGCCAAAGAGCAACATGTGTGAAAACACCTGTGCTTATCAAACATTTGTGAGGATTGGACCAGAGGTGATAAGATGAGGACTGACCTTGAGGTGACCGGTGTGCATGTTCGCCCTCCGACACATGGAGACAAAATGAGGTAGATTTGTGTGTTCCAGCAGGATTCTGAAGATGTCGACGTCAGTGAAAACATCCATAACCACTGCTATCACCTGAACACACACACACACACGCACAAGCACAATAAAATTCAAGCTCCAGGGAACTTGTACGTCTGCAGATGCACAGGTGGGTTATGTATCATAGTTTATACATTTATCCAATATATGCCAACAAGAACACACATGTATTTTCTCAGCTAACAGTAAAACCAAACCACAGGCGTGTAATCAGTATGAGTGCATGCCAACACTGAACGGTGGTTTCCTGTTTTGCCAAAAATAATACTGCAGTTGTTCCACAGGTTTAAGGTACAATCACGTAAAAAAGTTTTCCTTACAGGACACTAATTAAAGAGGAGATCTAAATGATTCTGCAGTTCTTCTCGGCGCTGTCAAAAGGCTCCCCGGGAAAATACCCAGGGGATGTTTCAGTAAAATACCGCATGTTACTGAGAACACCTGCATAGAAACATGACAAGTCATACACACAAGGTATGAGGTGATTCAGCTGCACACACACACACACACACACGAATGTGGCACACAGTCAGTTTCACATGCACCTCAGACGAGATGCAAAACGTTTCTGTGCAGTTACCGTGCAGCGTGCCGCTCACAATCCCTGATAACGCTTAATGCATTTTACTCTTGACTGCCTGCCACCTGTATGAACTCTGACCTCACACACACTGAGAGCTGCAGACCCACAGAAAACATTTACATGTCCACATGACAGTTTTTTTAATTAAGCAAGATTATTAATTAAGACTTTTTAAAATTATTATTAGGAACCAAGCATCAGTGTACTTATTCTGTCAGGAAAGAACAACAGCAACCACGCTTTTTAAATGACTGCTGCACACAGCACAGAAACACAGGTAGAAAATAGTTTTATAGGACAAGTTTTTTTTGGTGGCATTTTCACTTTAGAACAGAATTGTATGTGTAGTTTTGTAAACTTATTTTTAACTCATGAGAATTAAATGAATAATCCAATGGTCTCTAAATATTAATTTCTGTAAAGAAAAGGAGACAATTTAGTGCAAAACAGAGCATAATCAGAATCACATAAAGATGTTGGCAACTGTTACAGAACAACACAGCCTGGCTCCTATTGGTCAGTCACATGGTCTGTCTGAACATATTGAAAACCTTCAAAATATTTATTCAGTACAATTATAAAATATGTAAATATATATAAAATATGTAAAATAAACATTTATTTATAATGATTCATACTTTGAAGTGACGCTGATCTGAAAAAAAAAATAATTTTTTTTTGTGTTTTTGAATACAAAAGACATTATTTGAATTATGCAAATATTTGAAAAATACAGAGTGAACCTGTTTTACTTGATTTAAGGATTTAACAAAGTCAAAAAAAAAACAAAAAAACTGGAGGAATTTAGCCTTCATACCTTCTGCGCCTGCGCAATCATTTTCCTGACAACCTCCTTAATGTGTGTCTGACCGTCGAGCGGCGGTTGTGTGTAAACAGTAGCTCGCGTCACGCCACGATAAGCTTCGCTGTCCGGCCAACCCAGGTCCATGTTCGGCACAGACGTGTCAGAAAGATCTGGCCAGTAATGCAGCGACAGCGGGGGCTCGTCCTCCGCTGGGTTTCCAGGAAAGAGATCCGAGTTCGGGTCAAAGGGCTCCACAGTCCCGGTGATTGTTTCCAGCTCCGGGTCCGAGAGAAAGCCCCGCAGGCCACGCTCCTGCATGAACTTACCGAACGCCTCGCGTCCATCGCAGAGCAGAGTCTCCAGCGCCAGCCGCTGGTCCTCGCAGTAGAGAAACTCGGGTTTGGACTCATGGGTCCGCGGGTTCACGTGATTATCGTCCAGACACTGTATCTGAGACAGCGCCATGTCTCTGTAAACTCCCCCGCAAAAGACACAAACAAGAAAAGTTAAAGTTCAACACTCCTCCACGTCTCACGGGACAACTCTCCTGCCCCACGTTCAGTAGTCCCTCCGTGTTGTGTAAATCAGCTGATTGAGTAATCCATCTGTCGGGAACAACGTGACTGACATGTCTCCTGTGAGCGACCGTGGTGCGTTCAATGGCATTCCCGTTAGCGAGTGAGAGACTTGACAGACAAGGAGAGCACGAGAGAGGAACCGCCCGACAGGTGTGACCCTAACAGGCAGTGAAACACACCCACGCGTGCGTGTACAGATACACTCACACCTTTATCACGCCACACGCATGGCTTTCAAGATCTAAATCTGTGTGTGTGTGTGTGTGTGTGTGTGTGTGTGTGTTCTCCCGTCGTTGCCTCCCTAAGATATGATCTCCTTTCGTCAGGACAAGATCTGCTCCAGGGCACTGCTCTAGCCCTGGAGAAGAGGCAGACGACCATTCTGGAAGTCAGTCGAGGTAAAGTATGCGATCATTCTATATAAATGATAATAATAAAAAATCATATGGAACTTAATTAAACAGCAGAGCTGTGTGATATATTTAGCCCGTCTGTGTGTTGTCATTATTTAATTAACCTTCAGTCAGACGTATTTGTCAGTGACACTGCCCTCTGCTTGTGATTGGTCTTTTTCATTTGCAAGTACATGAGATATTTTTGACTCAAACTCTGGAATGTACAGTGTGTGTGTGTGTGTGTGGGGGGGGGGGGGGGGGGTAGACTTTATTTCAAAGGAAACAAAGCTGCCTTTAAAAAGTGCTAAAGTTCTAAAAACAGATGGTATCATTTTAAATGTGTCTGTTTATGAGAAAATTAAACATATTATATCATGCTTCTCCATGTTGAACAACTGTGAAATTAAACATATTATATCATGCTTCTCTATAATGAATTTGATCATTTTAGTGCAGTGACTGTAATAGTAAAAAAACGAATAATTTATTTAAAATGTATATACAAATATATATAAAAATAATGTTTTACCTGCAACACCACTACTGACCACCAGGGGCTCGGCCCGCCACAGCTGCTAATTAAAATACAAACCTTTGAAGCTCTCAATAGTTCTTAATAATGTCCCATGAGTTACAACAGTGTCCGTATTCTTTGCATCAATATTACTTCAGGATACCAGATATTAAAGGGCGATTTCTAAACATTATGTTAGTAGAATTCACAAGTCATTTGTTTGCATGTAGAGTATATGGATCCAGCCGTTATTTGGAGTAAAATCTTCCTTCAATTTCTTTCCCCAAACCTCAGAGTGAAAAGAGTAAAAACCATCATGATGTCATCCGTTCCTCCGTGCTGTTCCACCTGTTCCGTCTTGTTCCCGGTCTTTCTGCCAAGAGTGTTGTGAAAACTTCACAATGATTTATCATTATCCCTGAAATTAAACAATAACAGAATTATAGGAGGTTGAGATTAGGGGTGGATTAATGCGTCTAATGAAACATTCACTGCAGGGCGTACGCGGCTTAAATATATATCAAATTATAGAAATGGAAATTACAGCAGTTTACGGTTTTAGAAACAGAGACTGTGGTGTCTCTCGTTTTAAATAATATTGCCCAACATTAAAATTTAAGCAAATAATGAAAGACAAACAAGCTGTTAGCTAACGCTTACACTTACAGTACGTTGGCTCCAGGCTTTGAGGGATCATATATCCTTCAACGTATTTATCTGTTTATATATCATTTTACTTGATTAAAGGGCTAAACGTAGACAATGTGGTATAATCACCTAAGGTGTGTGATGTCATGACATGTCAGCGGCTGCTCCGTGTGAGGGACGGGAACCTAATGGGAGGGGAAGAAATTAGGTTGACACGG